AATATGAAGCAGTAATGCTAACCACTCAGCTGTGATGTTCAGTATCAGTGTGAATGGAATGTGAAGATGTTTATACTAGTTCATATAGTCTAGTGAATTCAACAGCAACTGTAAACAGTGGCTGGGAAATATGCAGCTATTATGCATTATAATTTCTTTGGTTGTGCTTGCTAAGATAATGAAGTTAGTTATAAAGTGTCAGAAAAAAGGAAATTGTGCTTATGTGCAAGTATAAAAATTCAAGATGTTATTTTAGTTACAACCTTGCTGTTTCTGTCAGCATACTTATTAAAGTTTCCTGAATATACTATAAAACAATGTGCAATCATGTAGTAGGGTTATGTAAACAACTGTATTAGATGTTCAAAAACCTGTGTGTAATATTACTTTATTCAGTGGGAGACTGCGACAAACAAAGGGGCCACTAGTATGATTAACTAGAGACAGTTCATTTAATGTTTGGATACTTTTACAAAGTACACATTTATATAAAGAGAATTCATATGATTATAAACATATACTTCATTGAATAGATTTTTTGGAATTCATAGTTGAGATTTCATGTTTAAAGTTTTATTGTCACTGACATTTGTCATTCTTACAATTCTACATAACTGTCTCAGGAACTAATGTGTACTTTATGGAATGTTTCCAAATTCTTTACAAATTGGTCTTAACATAAATTTACCGCAGTTACAAATCTGTTGTTGCAAAGATAACTGACTATATGGAAACCACATTGTATAGAACTTTGAATTCTTTTGGTGAGAAAATTGCACAACATTAAGATAAATCTTAAAGATATAGGTTATGAATATGTGAACTGGATGGAATTAGCTTAGGATCGTGTCCAATGGTAGGCTTTTTTATTAGCAGTGTTAAATCTATTGCTAGAGATTTAGTTAATTAGTACATAGCAAAGATGGGACACTTAACAGAAGTAAGTTGTTTTTCACTCTATTTCTTTAATGAATACACATTACACTATAAAGCGGTTCACATTAAAAGTGGTATAGTTCATTGAGATCAATATTTTATACAGTGTACCAGTTGTTGATACTGTGAACTATTTTTAAGAAAACTGGCAAACACCATTTGGGTTTTATGTAATGTTTGTATTGGACCAATGTGGGCCAAAATTAAATTCATTCAAGAGCTTTTAATGTAGATCCCCAATATCAAATTTAATCAATATCTGTTAAGTTCTTTTTAAAATGAAACATGTGAATGCCTGGAAGAATGTGTGTTCATTTTTATACGTTACGAAAGAATTCAGGAAAGAAAATCATCTGTAATGCATATCATGACAGAGTAATTATTTCATTTGCTGGAATGAAGTGAAAATATATCAATTTATTCTTTTTAAATATGAAGTTAATTAAATGTACATTTAGCTTCACAATTATGATTTGTTCTGCAGAATTAACCTTTGACTTTTGCTACTGACCATGGAATTCTCCAAGTGGGTATTTCCAATTCAGTACTTCTATGTGCAAAAAAGCATGCAAGATATCCATGTAAAGTGCCTGTTATTGTCCAATTTTAACCAAATTTGCAATGCACTAGCAACAAATTTTAGGAAAGCTTCCATTCATTTGTTCTCATGGTGTTACATTCAGAGAGATGGACAGATAGATATCGTAGAGCTGATAGGCAAATTTATGCAAAATATTCTTATGAATGTGTCTAAAAAGGAGATATGTACTCAGCTTTACATATTTTCAGGTATTGTTCAGTATCAAGGTGACTGTTATAAGTTTTGCCAATTTTATCAGCTGTTTAGAAATGAAATTTTTCAGAAAGTTAGTAATGTGTGTATTTATAGTTTAGATGCGTCATGTTTGTGTTCAAAATTCAAATATGTATTTATTATTCAAGTCTATACACAAACTTTTAAATTGTTGATGTTAAAATTTAAAATTCACCATTAATATTCTGCGCCATTCATCGTTATCTCGATGTTACAATATTGCGCTATATATTACTACATGTTTCAATGTCATAGCATCATCTTCAGGTTTTTATCTTTAAAACTATTCTATATTTATTAATGCACGCTTTTCATTGATTGTAGATTGTAGATTACTGTTGTGGGTGTTCCTTTGATCTTCTTATTATTTTGCATATTATGTTGCATATATAGTTATTTGTTCATTATTCAAGAGTTTGATGTGCAGTGTGTCCCCGTCTGATCAGGTGAATGTCATATATATGCAACATAATATGCAAAATAATAAGAAGATCAAAGGAACACCCACAACAGTAATCTACAATCTACAATCAATGAAAAGCGTGCATTAATAAATATAGAATAGTTTTAAAGATAAAAACCTGAAGATGATGCTATGACATTGAAACATGTAGTAATATATAGCGCAATATTGTAACATCGAGATAACGATGAATGGCGCAGAATATTAATGGTGAATTTTAAATTTTAACATCAACAATTTAAAAGTTTGTGTATAGACTTGAATAATAAATATATATTTGAATGTGTGTATTGTAAAAATCAAAAAGATGTGTTGTGTTACGTACTGGCACATTATTCCATGATCATTTCGTACAATTGACAGTTTTCATACAGGCCAGGAACTGAATCCATAATCTTCTACTTAAGATAGCATATCATTACAAGTTATGTAAGAGAAAGGCAGAAGCTTGTACATAAATTGCTCACATAATAATGAGATATTTCTTTACTTCATTGAATGATACTGAATATATTTAACTACACATTATGCCATTACTGAATGAAGACAATAACCTTTGGCTTATGAATATGACACTGTTGTATGTTTGAGACTTCACTGTTGAATAATGTGTGCACTGAGTTGATATTCTGTGTACATAACCTATAAAATTGCAAGTTAATGCATTTTAAATAAATATGTACTGTTAAAAGGCTGGGAAATATACCATGTTATAATCATGAGAAAGGAGAATTATGATAACAAATTGCAGATGTTTACTCAACTTATGATATCACCCTGTCTGTATGTGCTTATATATATTTGTTCTTCCTAATCATTTAAAATGAACTAATACATTTACTGTTCTTGAAACTAATATGACTGTCATGCCAGTGGAGTCCATTCTACCTCCCTACTTCTTAATTCCCAAACATAAGTATTAGCAACATTTCAAAGGTATGAGCTTCTCATTTCAAAGTGATGTTAGTGCCGTTTCATGTCAGAGTTTCAATAAATACAGTGCTGATAAGCTAGTTTATTCACAGAATGTTCTGCAACTTTTAATGCAAAGCTATCTGATAGCAGTAACTAATCAAATCTTCCTGCTAGAAACATAACATGAAATTTGGTACAGATGCAGATTGTACATGTATATACATTTCATGCATAAAACTCTTTTTATAACGTTACAACTTGCAAACATAGCAGGGATGCAGAATTTTCCTGCAACTTTTGGATAATTGACCATTTCATCTTTCCAAATAATAGTTGGTGAAAAGTACAAATCATGAAGCTCCTCATGCAGTTTCTTTCCAGTCTTTTGTTCCTTCCTGTCCTTTAGGTTAAAATATTCTCCGAAGTTTTCCCCTTATGGTGAAAGTCTAAGTTTCACATCCATACAAAACAACAGGTAAAAATGTTTTTTGTATATTTTAATATTTATGTATTTTGTGAGAGACTAGAAGACTGAACTGAAAAGAAGCAACCATTCTCTAAATATGGTTTTAACCTCTTGTCAACTATGGGGAATAGTAGGTATCACAATGGTTTTGATCTCATATGAAATTATCTAATTTTGAGACCAGCCAGGTTAAGTATGTATTTTTCTGTATCTTCTTATTGATTTAACGCCAGCAAAGTTTTAACTTTGATTTGTGAGCAATAGCAGATATTACATATTAAAGGTTTGGACACCATGCTAAACTGTACGTCCTCTTTTCCAGCCATCATCACCTTCAATTTTATCGTATTGGGGACAAAATTGAAATTCCCTTCACTCAATGTCCCATCAAAATATGGAATCCTACATTTACCCCTCAACATGTAGGCACAGACCATACATCAGCCACAACAACAATCCAGATTATGGAACTACTAAAAGTGGACAAATTGCATGAATTTGTAACAGATGACCGTCGTCATTATCAACATTACATGCGTACATTTACATTAAAGTCCCAATTCAACCAGCTTCTGGAGAGAAAATTATCACTGTCAGTCAGGCACTTTTATTTGTGTCTTGAAAGCATCCAATCGTTTGTATACCAGACTTCTGGCTTTGCTGTCTTAATCAGTATTTCTTTGCAAAAGAAGACTATTAAAAGCAGTGGTTGTGACGTAAAATTTTGTCAGTTATTCGGAGTAATGAAGCGCATTTCCGCGCTACTTCCTTCATAAATGTTAATTCAGTGAAAATTTTTGTTCCCAAGTAGCATGGTTACTAGGTAATTTATCGAGAACCTATTGGCAGCGCTGCAGTGTTTGGCCATGTGACGGGAAGACGCTGGGTTGCATTGGCAGTCGGCGCGGTGCCAGCGACGCTGTGGTTGTGTAGGTGGCGCTTTGTTAAACTGGTGGCTATGCATGCTACGTGGTGAGACTGAGAAGAATGACATTAGATGTCACTATGCTAGATTACGAAGTCAGTATTTTTGCTGCAGTATCAGTGTGCTTTATTCTTTAATTACGCCGTTTTGTGTTACAGAAAGTATGGTTATTTGAACCTGTGTTTTGTGAATTGTCACCATAAAGCCATAGAACATTTCTCATAAAGAAATTACAAGGAAGATTTTTATCGTAACTTTCATATATGTATTGTTTTATTCTACCAAGCCAGTGTACTATTTAACTGACGGCTTGAGTTTCGGTGGCCTTTGAGTCACTACAAAATAAGATAGCAGACAACTGCAGCAGAAACAGAACAACTTCCTTGGCTTTTCGGGTGAAGATTCATTCTGCTTCAGAGAACACGTGTTTCAGTATGGAGCATCATGACCTAAAGCGTGATCGTGTGTTTTTGTGCGTGTATTTTTAGATTATTTATCTGTATTGTTACAGTCATGTGAAAATCAGATTAATATGCAATAAAAGGCCGAGGACCCTGGACTGAAACTCATACATAAAACTACTTTGTGGGGAGAGAGCGTGTGGTCAAATATGGACGAGCTGTATTAGATATTCTGCAGCAATGCGTGGGGCTGAAGTGTTGGTTACTGCCCTCTTGTTTTTTTCTGTGCGTTTCGTGTTGGGATTTAGTTGCGTCTGCAGTCCTTTGGAGTGCGAGGAATTGAGTGACAGCGATTGCCCCGGTGGGGGTACCGTCTGGGACCCATGCGGATGCTGCCGGGTTTGTGCCCGGGTGGAGAATGAACCGTGTGGCGGACCTTATGGTTTCTACGGCTCCTGTGCTGAGGGGTTGGAGTGCGTCGTGGGTGCTCATGCTACAGGCAAAGCGGTACTGGCTGCCAACTCCGAAGGCATCTGCACACGTGAGTATGACAATATTACCAGTAACTCATCATGATGTATTTGCTTGTGTTTCATTAACTTTAATTTGTTTTATAGCCTGCTTCCAATACATAATATTTTGGGACGTATCTCGGTACATATGTAATTAGCCCATATTTTTTACGTAATACATAATACAATATTTTAATAAATCCAATTTAGTTCGCAAAAATAACCTTTGTAATAACAGTGTCGGTTAAGCATGCACCATCAAAAGCGTTGCCGGATCTGAAGATAAGGTCATGTCCACTGTGCCGACTGTATGCACCTAAACAGAAAAAAACACTCTAAGGACTCATTCGCTCGTTGTTTTTTTTAGTGTAGACTCGACATACACTTTGCGCTAGAATAGGAAAGTCCAAGACAGGCAGGAGGGTTTTCAATTGAATGGGACACATCAGCTATTGGCATATGCTGATGATGTTAATTTATTGGGTGACGATATAAATACAATAAAGAGGAACACAGAAGTTTTGCCAGAGGCTAGTCCCTCTTTATTGTCAGGGTGATTAAGTTGAGAAGAATGAGATGGGCTGGGCATGTAGCGCGCATGAATGGGACAAGAGGTGTGCACCGGGTATTGGTTGGGAAGCCTGAGGGGAAGAGACCGCTGGGGAGACCTAGACATAGATGGGAGGATAATGTCAGGCGGGATCTATGGGAGATAGGAGTTGAAGGAAACTGGATTTTGTTGGCCCAGGACAGGGTCCGGTGGAGGGCTTTGGTTAATTTGGTGATGAACCTTCTGGTTCCGTAAGCCATCTAGTCAGTTAGTTAGACTCATCATACCAACTGTAATCGGAATCCGTCGAATAATTTCGAACATACAGAGACGAACGACGTGGGGTTTCATTTGACTTGTCTCTCGTAGACCTATTTTAGAAGAAAGCGGGTTTGTGCGTGTGAGGGAATGAGGGCGTAGCCGGTTAGGGGGCCTGTGAACTGCAGACTGCTGTAGTAGGGGTGAATCAGTACGCTCGAGATCCGTTAGAAGTAGTGGGGTGGAGGGTAGCAAATAAGGAGAATTATTTCCCATTGACATTAGATTGTAGATCGCTGCTCCATTTCCTTAGTCGGTAATGTCTTTGGTTAACATAGTATATGATTTTATTTTCCTAGCGACGAAGGCAAATATTCGCCCTGACCATAATAGAAGAATTTAAATTTGGTATACAAATTCCCTTTTTCATGAGACAGACTTGTGTTTTCATTCCTGGAATGTCTTGGAATCGTTACACTACAACGAAATTATGCATGATTAGTCGGCTGTTTAATGACGCAGTATCAGCTACCGATTTTGTGCAATGTAGAATTAGAAATGGTGATATGACGTATCGAGAACGGCGCGGACAGAAGTGGTCGTGGTCTATTTTAAGGCACTGGTCAGCAGTCCGTGTGAGAGAAGATATACAAGTCAGTCAGGATAGCCGAAGTCTGAAGGAAGGTTAGAAAGACTTCAGTGTCCATGATACTCCCTAGATTAGATGATGCAAAAGATGAAAATGATGGACGATGAATCCGAACCCCTTTGCGGTCGTAGTCGTTTGGCAGGTGTTGACAGAAGGACGGGATTCTGTCGGCCTTGAACTGGAGACCGGTGCTACTTCCCAGCATCTGGACTGTGTACATTTACACCCATTTGGTGCAATTTTCCCAGAGCTGAGTTTCATGTACATGACCAGAGTAATCTAATCACGAAGTTAGTCGTGAAGTCGTAGAACATGAACATCGAGAGTACCACTAGTTTTGATCCACGTGTTGTCACTACACTAGACGTGGTAACCGGCAAACATTTGGTAGCCCAAGATCTGTGCTGTGCCACGTTTTATGTATAAACTGCATTTACCGTACAAGTGAATTCTGTAATTTTATCTTAAAACAGAGGAGGAGCTAATACGAAGATGGGGAAAATCTAATGGCGAGGAACGTCTTAATATGCGCTCTTCACAAAACTTCGTGTATCAGATAAACAGCAAATAAAGATGGGTGGGACACGTGGTACTTTTGGGTGATGTGAGAAATGCATATGTAATTTTAGTCAGAAACTCTCCACTTACATATGTGAAATCTGAGGGGCTTAAATTGTAGCCGTGCGTACAGATTTTATTCGAAAGTTATTTTGCATAAACTGTTAAAGTCAAGTTCTACTAACCCGCCGACTTTGAGCCATGACAAAGGACACGTGTAAATATTTTATTAAACATATAACTGGTACGATGGTTTCGGGCTATAAAGAAGAGAAAGGTGGAAGTGTGTAAGCAATAAATGAATATAACTTGTGGGTGGAAAATCCCAGGGAAAGAATCTCTTGGGAAACATGGGTGTAGACAGGGTAATGAGTTAATATAAAATCATGTCTTGGAGAAATAGGTTGTGAAGTTGTAAACTGGATTAAGCTGGCTTAGAATGGTATCCAATGGCGGGCTGTCCTTAACTGCTGGGTTCTATAAACGCGGGGAATTTCTTGGCTGATTGAATTTGTACGGGGAAAATGGGTTCGTTACAAAGGCAAGGTGTACTTTGTGTGTTTACAGGCTTCGCCTTAATGAGTCTTAGTAAAGATCCTGTCTTATTAATTACCAGCCAGAATGGTTGATTGTTCCTTAGCGAGGCTTGCCTCTTGAAGGTAAATGAATGGCGTAAACTTCTCTTAACAGAAGTAATTGGAGCAAGGGCTGAGTGGTCGGAGTTCGGTGACGGGATTTTTTCTTCATTATCACTGGGACCCATCCAGCCACCTATCCTTGTGTATCAAGAGCAAAGCGGTTGAAGCTATTCACTCACGTTTACTAGAGCAGAGGAAAAAAAATCCATGGAGCTTTATATCCTCGACCTCTACGCCACATGATGGCGGGGTGGTTGGTCACGTTTGGTATCGTCCTGATAATAATATCGAAAGCGTAGTGGTTGTTTGCTTTTAATTAACTTGAAATCGTACTGCGCATGAGCAATGTGTCTGATTAGTTGTTGCATGAGGTCTCTCCAATTTCTTCTTGTACTCTCCAGGATAGTAATTACGTAATGAGGATCTTCATTGCGTGTAATGCACATATGATACTGTGAAGTTGATTAGATAAAGAAGCGTAAGGTGGGCGGGACATGTAACATGCATGGGAAATATGAGAAATGCATGGTCTTGCTTCAAATATGTAGCTCATAAGCAAGCCTATAGAGAAAATTAACATTGAAGATTTCTGTCCTCTGGGTTGTTGCGCTGTGTAGTCTGGTCGATGTTTACCAACGTTTCGGAGGTCATACTGCCTCCGTCATCAGGACGATGAATTCATCAACAACCCAGAAGACAGCAATCTTCAGTCTCACCGCTGTGAAAACTTTAAATCCAACAAAATGAACGTTTTGCCACTAACAACTAAAAGTAATTTCGAAATTTTGATTTTTAAGGAGTTCTTTACAGAGAGTTCATGGGATTTTAAAGACCTACAGTCGAATACTTCGGAATCCAAAATCTACTAACAAAATTTTAGTAGCGAAACTTGTTGGGAAACGGCCAATTGAATTAGCGAAAGGGAGATGAGATGACAGTATTAAGACTGGTTTTCGGAAAGTGAAACTAGCTTCAAATTAGCGGTGTCGAACCTTCGTATCTCTTGTGATTGTATTGGTTATTTTTAAAATCAGAAAGTTACGTGCCTGGGGTAATCATTGATGGGCTGCAGAAGTTATCTGCCTGATGCGTTTCCAATGCAGAACTACTTAAAACAAGGGAATGCTTTTATCTCCAGGGCTGTGATACGCGATCAGGAGAAAGGACATTTAACTTCTGGCACGTTTTCTCGTTGTTAATTTAAGAGGGCAAACAGAAAGTCCTGAAGTTTTGTCATATTTGCCTTATCCAACTGGAAAAACTTTTGAAGAGAGCCGAAACTCGACATGACCACACGTCTCACTTTCTACGACGCCGTGATGTTAGGCAACTACTCTTGCCCTTGTGTGTGGACACAAACACGAACAAGTGTTCGCAGGCGTTACGTGCAGCACTGGCGAGTTCTGGAAACCATTCATCATCCGTCTTTATCGTATTTCTATCTTTCTGTAGTGTAAACTAGCGTAGCAATACCAGCTGTATGAAGATAACTTGAATGTTGCTTTTCACATTCAGTAGTCTCGTTGTTTGCTTTCATTAATTTTCAATTTTATTTATTTATTTTTGTTTAATAACGCTGTCAGTAGCTCACACTATGTAGCGTCGAATAATGGGATGATTAATTAATTTGAAATTATGTGGAAGGAAGTGGTTGTAGCCCAGTTGAAGATACTATCCCATTATTTGCCTGGAGTACTGAGAAAAACCTGTCGTGGTAGCCGTTTCCGAGCTTATTAACTTTTCAACTATTTACATGTTTGAGAGATCTGTGGTCAGGAGATCGTAACCAGGCATAGTGTGCAAAGTGAGACATTTGGTCCAATTTTCATCACCACTTTTGAGAATAGTTTCACCATCCAATTTCGATTTCAGTTCGTGTACTTGGTTATTACACCGAGAGGTCTGGTCGTGAGGGACAAAGAACTCACGTAACCCAGATATAATTTTCCTTTACTGTTCATAGCAGAAACCAATCGGATCTTTCTTTCAGCGGCTTCATTACTGGGGTATGCTTAGTGATTTGGCGGACTGTTAAAATTCATAGCTTTAGAAAATTTCATGCAGATTTTAAAGCAACTATGAAGATGGTTGTCTTCTGGGTTGTTGTGCCGTGTATGTAGTCTGGTAGAAGATTACCAGTGTCTCAAAGGTCCTTGCTGCCTTCATTATCAGGGTGATGAGTATATTACTCATCGCTTGTAAACGATGGTTAACTTATAACAGTCTGCATGCCGCTACAACCCAGAAGACAGCCGTCTCCCGTCGTGGAATATTTGGAGGTGGCCTGATATCCCAGCATTTGCACAGATAGTTCGTCGTTTAAGACGGAATAGAAGGCAAACTGACACAGATTTTAAATTTAGAAGTCTGCGCTAG